GCCAGCCGACAAGAACAGAGACTTCTGGCTGGAGGCGCCTTTTGTTCTGATGGCAGATTGGGAATAAGAAGCAGGCTTCTGAGCCTTTTGAGTTGGGAGGTTTGATTTTGCTTTTCTGACTACAGCATCCTCCCTGGATTGATCTCAAAAAAGAAAAAAAAAAAAACCCCTCAGGACCACAGCAGGGCCCAAAGGAAGCCAAAACGGCATTCAGATCAGACATGGATATGGACAGGTCTTCTCCTCTAAGGATGGTGGGGTTTGCACCTGTCCTCTCTGCCAGTCCCCCTAGCAGTGGCTGGACCACAAACCCCAAGCCTCTTGAAGTGGAGAAAGTTCTGGGCTCTGGAAAACCAGCCTGGAGGCAGCCCCCCCCCCCATCTGAGCCCTATCTTGGTGCTTCGCAGCAAGACCAGTGTGGGGGCGGAGGCTGGAGTGAGCCAGCTGCAGGGATTGTCTTCTGAGAGCTCAGAGGATGACAGTACCCCACATGTGCGTGGGGCTGGTACTTTTCCAAGGGCTTTTAAACGCATTATCTTGTTGGAGGCTCATTTGAGGCAAGGACTCAGAACAGACTGGAAAACAACTCATTTACCAAGTCCTGAATGGAGAGGAAGCTGAACGCAGCGTGTATTTTTGCTGGATCTCAAACCAAAACAACCTTTTGTTAAAGAACAAACAAATAAACAAAGATGCTCAATGCTAATTCATCAGGGAACACAATCTAAACTGGAGGCTCTGGGCGGAAATCACAGTAGAAAATTCAACAGGCATTTACTGGGCAGGAGGGGCCTGCTGGGATCACAGGCCAGCTCCCCATGGAAAGCTTTCGGGGGCCACAACAGCATGTCCTTGCTGCCAGGGCACAACCTTCCAGGAAGACCTCCAGCTGGGGAACTCACTGGAGATGTTGGCAGGAAGTGCTTTAGGAGTGAGCTAGGAGCAGAAGTGTGGGGGAGAGGTCAGGGTGGTGTAAGGGATGTACCTGAACAGGATATCCTCTTGGGAAGGGCTTGGTAGAAAAGGTTTAGGGACAGGTGTCTGATGTTACCAGCCTCTGAAGGAATCACACTGAGATATATTCAGTAGGGGTGGGGGGGTCCCCTAATTATTCATTGGTACAACCCCTGTAGAAATAACTTCCAGGTGGCTCCCTTCTTTTAAAAAATATTTTTGTATGTGTTTGTGTGTGGTTGTGTGTGTATGGAATCACACGTGCGCACCTGTGTGCGTGTGTGGGGGGAGGAGGATGTGGATATGTGGGTACTCGTGTTTCCATACGGAAGACAGAGTTTGACACTCAGTGTCCTTCCTCAACTGTCTGTCTAATTTGTATTCCACTCGTTTGCTGGACAGGCTGATCAGCAAGCTCCAAGGATCTTCATGTCTGTACCCCTCAGAGCTGGGACTGAAGACACACTGCTGTGCCTGACTTTCCCATGGGTGCCATAAGTCCAGGGTCTCCTGCTTCCTTCCGTGCAAAGACTTTACTGGCTCAGCCATCTCTCCAGCCCCTATCTCTTCCATCTCAAAGGGCCTCAGAGGCCACCTCAGCACTCTTTAGGGGCAGGAGCATAGACAACTCCCTAAAATACTCATCGTGTCTTAGAAGGACCATTCTCCTGCTGCGGTGACTTGGAGAAGCCCTGGACCTTCCAAGGCCCAAGTAGCAGCAGGTGATTGGATCTAGCACTGCTCTCGCCTCGGTTCCTCCCTGCAGTCTGGACCTAGCTTTGAGGGCATCTGTCCTCTGGGGAGACTGTTGGAGGGGTTCCTCCCTGCAGTCTGGACCTAGCTTTGAGGGGATCTGTCCTCTGGGGAGACTGTTGGAGGGGTTCCTCCCTGCAGTCTGGACCTAGCTTTGAGGGGATCTGTCCTCTGGGGAGACTGTTGGAGGCAGCGGTGCTCAGAAGTGGTGCTATGACAAGGGGTGGATCAAAGGGTCAGGGATAGCTTTCACTGTCAACATAACATAACCGAGCGCCATCTATGAAGGCTCTCCGTGAGGGATTATCTACAGCATGGGTTGCCTTAAGTTAAATAATTTGGGAAGGCACAACCTACTGTGGGTGGCACCATTCCCTAAGCACCTCGAGCTGAGTACAAGCATGCATGCGTTCATTTCTCTCCGCTCTTTACTGTGGATGGGATGGGACCGGCTGCTTCAGGCTCCGCTGCCATGGCTTTCCACTGTGTAGCTGGGAATTCTAAGCTAAAGTCCTTTCTCACCTAAGCTGTTCTGCCAGGTTTTAGCAAGAGAAAGGGAACTAGGCAGGGTGCTAACTGGACTGGTGGAATAGCCACTGAGGAGCTCACATTGAGTGCTGGGGTGGCAAGGCCTGATGGGCAGGAGCAGGTTTTGAAGGGCACTCCCTCTGCTTCCCAGCCTCCGTGGCTGTCTGCTCCCAACGCTGCCTTGTATCTGCTGCAGATCAATGCAACAAGACAAACTGGATGGAGCCCTCTGAAACCATGAACCCAGATGAACATGTCTGCTTTCCTATTGGTTCCCTCGGGTATTTCGTCAACTATGGAAAGCTGTTCAATGCCTTTTTGCTGGCACAGAGAGGGAGAACTGATTTGGGGGAAGTGACTTCTTATGATTCTTCAACCTGCGTGGGGTACCTTCATGGCTGTTGACAACACCCTTTTCATACAGCCCACTCCCTCAAGGTATAGCATGGAGATTGGCCGGCTGTCTCCTGCAAGGCAATGGTCCAGATGAGGTACTTGGGCCCATGGTTATACGGACTATCCAGACACTGGGTGACTGGGGGCACAGGACTGTCCAGAGAAGGTGAGCTTGGGCAAGATACCCCTAGCCAGAAAATCCATGGCTTCCAGCCCCCACCACCATGCTTCTAAGCATCTTCAGGCCATTTACACTGCTCCCTAAGGGGTCTCAGGTATGTGTCTCCATGTTCCCTTAGCACTGGAAACACACAGGCTCCTGGTCCTGGCTCTGCCTAAAGCTCCCTAAGTTAACAGAGAGGAAAAATCATCTGTGCTCTTCCAAGCTCCCAGCATGGAAGCTGAAGGCTCTACTCCCTCCTTGAAAGTGCCAGGACTCCACTGTGGTGATGGTGGTGACAACCACAGCCTACCTCAGGGTCAACTACTCCACTGTTCCACGGTCAGGATGCCCTGCATAGGGAGTAGTCCTACAAAGGGTAGCCTGTGTCTTTCAGCAGCATTTAACTTAAGACAACTCCCCAAAGACATGCCTCCAGGCCAGTTCAGTGCAGACACTCCCTTGCTTGAGACTTCTCTCCAGGTGATTCTAGGTTGTGTCAAGCTGACAGTTAAAGCCAACCGCCATCCTCATGGTGGTGGTGACGGCCCAGCTGCCTCTGCACGTCTTCCCCATCCACACAGGGAAGGCACATGTCAGAATTCTGTGCAGTTCTCCAGAGCCCAGGCTGCATGACTCTAGGGGTGTCCATGTCCCCCAATAGTTGTCTTGTGACTCCGCTGGGGTTTGAGCAGCACTTGGGGAAGCAGTTGTATCCTTAAGCCTGCTGGCCCTGGGGAAAACAGAGCCTTTGGCTCATCCCTGGAAGCCCCAACACTGGGCATGCCATCCATGCCCTGAGCCTGCAGCTGGTCCCCAGCTGGATTCCTAGCCCTGTAGCCGCCTTTGTGTCCACACAAGGGAGACTCAGTTCCTGGGCTGCTCTGTGACCCTGCTTCCTGTGTCCACATGGGCACAGCTCCCTAGATGGGGAAGGGGAATGATGGTGCCAGCTGCCCCAGAGAAGGAGCCAGACCACCTCGGTGACCCCTACCTCCTCTGGGGTGTCTCTAGGGGAAGCTGGCGAGAGCTGCCTAGTGCAAGCAATTAAGTGAACTAATGACCCATGAAGGCTCCTGCCTTCCAGCCTGACCACGCCTCTCCCTGCGCAGAAGCCCAGTTTCTCACTCGTTTGACCACTACCCACAGTGACTAGAAATTGTCACACAGGGTTTCTCATTTAGGGCTGGGACCTAGGAGTTGGCTTTTGACTTTCCAGGTCCACCTGGGGCTAAGCATACAGTAAGTAGCTAATAAACATTTGCATGGCGTCAGACCCAGAAACAGGCACCTCCCTTCCAAGGCAGTCAGACCTGGTGCCTGAGAGCGCTTAGACTGTAGTTGTCAGTGGACTCAGGACATCCCAGTGCATGCATTCTGCAAACCTACCGACAGGCCCTGGTCTCGTGGCCTCTTAGAGAAGGTGTAGGAAGACACGTCCTACTCACTGGGGCCTAACCCCGATTGCCTCTCAGGCAGTCTGGGATGCACTGTGTGGGAAAACCAAAGAAAGCAGGAGAGAACTTATTCCTAGATACTATGAGGCCGGCTGCCCCTGTAGTCCCTGCAGCCCGGGTGTGCTGTACAGACCTCGAACCTGGCTGGGCTCCCGGGAATCAAGTGGTTTCCAAACCAGGCCTTTTGTGGCCTAGGGCTTCTCTGGTAGGAACTGGAGAGACTCAGGTTCAGAGCTGAGGAAGTCATGTCCACCCCAATATGAACAGAGGCTCTCCGAAGTCATCTCGCAGTGTATGGAGACAATCGGAAAACCAAAGCAGGTGGCCAGCAGGCCTAGACCTGAGGGCTGTTGTCCTCTGCCCCAGACTCCAGAGCTCTGGGCTGGAGTTCAAACCAGTTCAACTAGCCATCTAGTTGACTCTGACAGGTTATCAGACAGGGGAGCAGGGAAACATGAGCAGAGACAATGGCGTGTTGTGGTCGTATTTAATTCAACTTCAAGTGAACTGGAGGGGGCCATGAGGCTCTTCCTGCTTCACAGAACAGGGTCTCTAACAGTCAGTCACATCTATCAAGACATAGGCTGGATGGCCACCCCAGTGAGCCCCAGCTAGAGCAAGGGCCTGGATCAGGAAGCGCACTCACTACAGAGGTGACCAGGTGTGGGACAAGGGACAGTGAGTTTGCAGAAGCCGACCTAGGCGGTCTGTGACAGTCTTCCCCGGACCCCACAGAGGTGTCCCAGGTGTGGGACAAGGGACAGTGAGTTTGCAGAAGCCGACCTAGGCGGTCTGTGACAGTCTTCCCCGGACCCCACAGAGGTGTCCCAGGTGTGGGACAAGGGACAGTGAGTTTGCAGAAGCCGACCCAGGCGGTCTGTGACAGTCTTCCCCGGACCCCACAGAGGTGTCCCAGGTGTGGGACAAGGGACAGTGAGTTTGCAGAAGCCGACCTAGGCGGTCTGTGACAGTCTTCCCCGGACCCCACAGAGGTGTCCCAGGTGTGGGACAAGGGACAGTGAGTTTGTAGAAGCCGACCTAGGCGGTCTGTGACAGTCTTCCCCGGACCCCACAGAGGTGTCCCAGGTGTGGGACAAGGGACAGTGAGTTTGCAGAAGCCGACCCAGGCGGTCTGTGACAGTCTTCCCCGGACCCCACCACACCTTAAGCTGTCTTCTAGAAGAGGAGCAGCCACACCCACCACCACAGCTCACAGAAGGAGAAGCCAAACTCATCTCAAGGTCTAATCTTCCAATTACTTCAAATCAGTCAGTGTACAGTGAGGTAAGGAACCACGTCACCAGCTGGGAAGCAGCGCTCACACGCTCACACGAGCCTGCGTCTTTTCGAGTTACGCCCCACATCATCGCTCTCCTGGGTATCCACCTCACAGCCCAATGGGGACACCAGGTTCAGCAGCGGGTCCTCAGAGGCACGGCCAAAAAGTGCCAGTAGGAGAGCCACACCAAAGCCCGTGGCTCGCTCGCCCTGTGGACAGAGAAGGTGGAAATCCTAGGCCATGAGGCTGCAAATGTCCTGACATGCTCAGAGGTGGTGGGCATAGCCTAGTTAGAAGCCATAGCTCAGAGTGAGAAGGCCCATGCCTCCTGTTCAGCTCAGGCGAGGCTGGCCGGGAGGGAGGACTGCGACATAGCAGTTATTCAGGGATGAAGAGACCAGAGGTCAGGGAGACCACAGCTGGCTGGAGGCTGGGCCACAGGCAATCTGATGCACAACACAGAATCTTTCTGATGATCTCAGAAGCAGCTCTGAGGCAAGGGGGCTCGGGTCACCTGGCCTTGAGGAGCCCCCCGGAGGCACTTACAGCATGCACCGGAGCTGCGATGTCTAGATGGACCCAGACCCCAGGCCAGTCAAATCCGATGTGTGCAGCAACGAAGAGGCCAGCACAGGAGCTGGGGCTGTTGTCTCGGTCCTGAGGACAGGAGGGGACAGCTGGTGACATCCTGTTCCTAGCAGTGGGAGGAGTCTGGACAGTCTATCTAACCTACCCTTATCCTGCAGCCTTAGGCACAGAGATACTTGCTGACCAGATGGCTCCAACCTAGAACAAGGTTTCTACCTCCTCCGGGACACAGGAGGACCACAAAGAACCTGAAGGGGCAACTAAGTCAGACCCCGGTGTGGAGTCTGTTCACCAAGCATGTTCACTGAGTGTGTCCTGAATGAAGTCACACCTGACCTCTGCACTGTTCACACTGGTCTCCTGGCTCACAGACTCCCCAGGGGCACAGCTCTGCACATTAGTGCAGGCCCACACCTACCGCCACGGAGTTCTTCATGTCAGCCACGGCAGAGGTGAACTCGCTGAAGTGCAGCTCGGGGCAGTAGACCAGCGGGTGAACCAGATCCCCGCACTTCCGGCCAGCCTTCACGCAGGCTACCTCCCACTCGGCACTGTTGGTGAGCACGGCTGCATGGTACTTCCCTGTGGCAATGCCCTAGGCAAAGGACACAAAAGAAGCAACCGTGCCAGGGAGGACAGAAGAGAAACACAAATGGCAGAAGTAGAGCCACAGGCACCAGAAACACACCATGGGGGAGGCGAAAGGAGGACAGACAGGGCCGGGAACAGCAACAGGACGAGCGTACACTTCCTTGTCTCCAAATGACAGCTGCCAATAGGAGTTCAGGCCTATGGAGGCTGCAGGGGCGATGTGTGACACCCACCTGTGCTCCAGTCAGTGTGGCCATGTCCACGATGATGTCAGCTCCCAGGTCCTTGCAAGCATACGATACCCCATCAGCTAGCACCAGCCTGCCCTCAGCATCTGTGTTGTTTATCTCTACAGTCCTGGGTGTGACACAGACCCCAGTTCAGGAATTCAGCTGGCCAGAGTGCTGAGCAACCAACCCTCTTTGTTACTGGAGAGCCCAGTCCCTGCAGCTCCCCCATTTCCGTGACATGTGCCCTCCCCAGGAACATCCCAGGTGGGAGGCAGGGGTAGGCTTCTCCCACACCCTGGGTTAGGCTCAGACTGACCTAGCCTGGCTCTGGGAGGAAGCCCAAAGTCTAAACAACAGTTCCAGAGCTGAGAGAGGGCTAGCCTTACTTTCCTGAGTACAGAAGGTGAATGTCATCAGGTCTGGTGGCATTGGGGCCCACAGCATTCTCAGCCAAGCAGAACACAGCATGGAGGTTGTCTTTGAAACCCTAAGAGGAGAAGCAGGTTGAGAGGTCCCATTACAGACCAGAAGTTCTGGAAGGGGTGAAAGGGAAGGGAGAGCCAGGTGCTCTCAGACCTGCAGACTGTAGCAGACAGACAGACTAGTAGGGCCCCCAGGAGCAGGAAGCAGGGCTCAGAGCTGAAGGTACAATTGGGGAAATCCTTGCTAGAAGGGGCAAAGCCCTCTAGGGTTCAGACCATGCAGCAGACTTCACTACACAGCATATGAAGAACCTTTGATTTGAGCAATCCTCCTGACTCAACCTCCTAACCATCATTCTTACCCCCAAACAATTGCTACTGAGGGACTGATAACTTTACTTCCACAGTTCTTCCTGCCAGTAGTAATCACCCCCATTTCTGCATTCCTTCAGTGTGACCCCTACAGTGTGGCTGTGCCGGGCGGCCAGGACAAACAAGTGGCCCTCCCTACATCAGGTATCCTGTGGGCCGCATCACTGCCGCTGTGTTCATTCTGAGAGTCTTTCTGAGGCATACTCCTTTTCAAGACGATGGAGGGAGAGGCCAGGGCCAAGTGGACAAGTGAGTTAACCAGGGGAGGGCAGGGGCTCTTGTGTGTATATGCGGGTGTGTGAGGGGCTCTCAGAACCCTTAAGCTACTGGCTGCAGCTACCTGTAGGTCCAGTACCCATCTTGCCCATCAGTGAGTACCGCAGCACTGGCTGGTGGGAAGTCCAAAACTGACCTGCTGAGCATTTCCTTGCCAGCATGTCTTAGATGCCAAATCACCGACAGGAGAGAAGGACTTCTCCACACATGTCCAGCCATGGCTGCTTCCTTCATCAGGCACTCTAAGCTAGGCCTTCTTACCAAACAATCCCTGCTAAGTTCCACGGTCAGGGAAGTGGAATCGGGGAGAGAGGAGGGCAAAGTCTGAAGGAGGAAAACGAGAACTCATGCCCTTACCTGCTTGATGGCAGCTCTGAAGGCTCCCAGGATGGCTGCGGCACCCCCACAATCTCGCTTCATCCCTGGCATAGTGGTCTAGAGGGACACAAAGAACCAGAAGAGAGGGAATGAGCCACACGAACATGGACACAGCTGGCAGCAGGCTCACAGGCTCCAATCTGCACAGCACACCAGGGCCTTGTCTTATACAGGCCTCTCTGAGCGCCATTCATGAAACGCTCCACCCAGAAAGAGTCTTCTACCAAAGCAAGAGGAAGAGAGGTTCAGAAGTGGTGGTGATAGACCTTGTGTTTCTGTGCAGCTTTAGAGCTACAGAGCAAAAGATAATACAATAGAAGGTGACCAAGAAGCTACCCACTGGCCAGATTTACCATGTCTGGGTTCTCCCACAGAGCCCTTGACCACAGGCAATCTTGGGAGTCTACACTCAGGACCTCTGTCTTCTTCCTCACCCAAACTCCATAAAGACAGAGTCTCACATGGAGTGAGCCATCCAGCCAGCACCTCAAGAAGCTTGGCCAGGCTTCCCAGTGGCAATCAGAACTGCGGGTCCCTCCTCATACAGACTGGAGGTGAAGTGTTTGCCAATAAGCTGTTTTGCCTATGTTCCCTACTTACCTCAGGTTCCTGCTGTGTCTACTAAGGAGGGACTGGAGTAACCCCAGACTCATGTCAATCCCATCCTACCTGAGTATAGGCTAGCAGCCACTGTGAGCGGCTCTGGTATCTAGGAGTTGGGTCCAACTACAGTCAAACAGATTATGCTTGACTTTGGTCCCTCCATCTCCATTCACAGGGAGGATACAGCTTACCTTGAATCCTAATTCACTTGTCCTCCAAGCAACAGCCCTGGATCCCTGCCCTCCTGCCAGACACTCACACTCCTCACAGCCCTGTTTCCAGCTATGCCTGCAGTGACAGCAGAAGCCGCCTGCACTGGCCTATGTTTGCCCAGCATTGGAGCTTTACTGGGGAGGCCTAGACTGATGCCAATTCTTCTCTATGTTTACTAGTTAATATCTGGCTGGAAAGAGAGTATGTTAGTCATATCTTAAAACATTACCATCAAGTCATCAGTAGGTGGTAACGACACACTGCCATATTCAGTTCACTGGTGGGTCTAAGCTGAAGCCCCCCGACACCAATGCAAATATCACCTCTTACGAACTACCTATGTTGTTACACATGTTTCTGCTGTATAGGTTTCCAACTCCAATTGACAAATTCTGATTTAAAATAAATACAGGACAAACGCTCACTATTTGCTGATGATAAGACAGATCCCAAAAATTCTACCAAGGAATTCTGACAATTCATAAACACTTTCCATAAGGTAGCAGGATACAAGATAAACTCAAAGAAAAATCAGAAGACCTCCATTATACAGATGGTAACAGGACTGAGAAAGAGAGCGGAGAAGAATCACCCTTCACAACAGCCACAAATGAAATACATTGGAGAAACACTAATCACACACGGAAGGCCTGTATGAAAAGACATTAAATCTTTGAAAAGAAATTGAAGAAGACATCAGAAAATGGAAAAATCTCCCATGTTCTTGAATAGGTAGAATTAACATAGTAAAAATGGCAATCTTACCAAAAGCAATCTACAGATTCAATGCAATCTCCATCAAAATCCCAGCAGAATTCTTTATACACCTTCAAAGAGCAATATTCAGTTTCATATAGAAAAACAAAAACCCCAGGAGAGTCAAAACAAACCTGTACAATAAAGGAACTTCTGGAGGCATCACAATCCCTGAAATCAAACTCTACTACAGAGCTACAGGAATGAAAACAGCCTGGTATTGTCATAGAAATAGACAGGAGGAACAATGGAACCGAATCGAAGACCAGGATATCAACATACACACCTATGAACACCTGTTTTTTGACAAAGAAACAGAACATTTAAAATGGAAAAAAGAAAGCACATTCAACAAATGATGCTGGCATAACTGGATATCAACATGCAGAAGAATGAAAATAGATCCAAATCTATCGCCATGCACAAAACTCAAGTTCAAATCGATCAAAGACCTCTACATATAACCAACCATACTGAACCTCACAGAAGAGAGAGTGGGAAGTACACTTGAACACATTGGCACAGGAGGCAGCTTCCTAAGAATGACCCCAGTAGCACAGACACTGAGAGCAACAATTAATAAATGGGACCTCCTGAAACTGAGAAGCTTCTGTAAAGCAAAAGACACAGTCAACAGCCTACAGAATGGGGAAAGATATTCATCAACCACACATTGGACAGAGGACTGATCTCCAAAGTATACAAAGAACTCAACAAACTGGCCATCAAAATTAGAAATAATAGAATAAAAAATGGGGTACAGATCTAAATAGAGAACTCTCAACAGATGAATCTGAAATGGCTGAGAACACTTAAAGAAATGCTCAAAATCCTTAGTCATCAGAGAAATGCAAATCAAAACAACTCTGAGATTCGATCGTATACCTGTAAGAATGACCAAGATCAAATACACTGATGACAATTTATGCTGGAAAGGATGTGGGGTAAAGGGAACACTCCTGCATTGCTGGTGAGAGTGAAAAATGGTATAGCACACTGGATATCAGTCTGGCAATATCTCTGAAAATTGGGAAACAATCTAACTCAAGACTCAGCAATAGTACATTTAAATATATACCCCCAAAATGCTCAATCATACCAAAAGGACATGTGCTCAACTATGTTCATAGTAGCATTGTCATAACCAGAAGCTGGAAACAACCTCAATGCCATTCAACCAAAGATAGAATAAGGAAAATATGCTATATTTCCCTTAATGGAGTATTAATGAGCGGTAAAAATTAGTGATATATTGAAATTTGCAGACAAATACATGGATCGAGAAAACATCATATTGAGAGAGGTAAACCAGACCCAGAAGGAAATATACTAGGTATTCACTCATAAGTGGCTTTTAGACATGAAGCAAAGAAAAACCAGCCTACATTCCACAATACCATATAACCTACACAACAAAGAGGACACTAAGAGAGAAATACAAGATCTAATCTACATGGAAAGTAGAAAAAGTCAACATCTCCTGAGTAAATTGGAAGCAGGGAAAACATGGGAGAGTGTAGAAGTGAAAGGGAGAGGGAGAGAGGGGAGCTGAGAAAAGTTATATAGTTCAATATAAAAAATTAAAAAAAATAACATGTCTGAGGGTGGTAGGGAAGGTCAAACTCTCACTATTTGCTGATGATATGATAGTTTACATAAAGCAATCCCAAAAATTGTACCAAACAACTCCAACAATTCATCAACACCATCTGTAATGTAGCAGGATACAAGATTAACTCAAAAAAAATCAATGGCCTCCTTTACACAGATGATAAATGAGCTGAGAAGGAAATCAGAGAAGCATTACCCTTCACAAGAGCCACAAATAGCATAGAATGTCTTGGAGTAATTCTAACCAAACAAGTGGAAGGCCTGTATGACAAGAACATTGTTGGAGGAGAGAGCTCCTTGGTTACTGGACACCCAGCTGCTCAGCCCCAAAATAATCACACAGAAACTGTATTAATGAAACACTGCTTGGCCAATTAGCTCAAAATTCTAATTGGTTAACTCTTAAATCTTAATTTAATGCATTTCTATTAATTTGTATATCACCACGAGGTCAGGGCCTAACAACAAAGCTTCAGCACAACTATCTTTGGCAGGGGATCAATGGCTTCTCTCTCACTGCCTTTTATCTCACAGAATTCACATCAGCTCTCCTTGCCCAACTAAGTTCTGCCCTATCAACAGGCCAATGCAGTTTCATTATTCATTGATAGTAATCACAGCACACAGAGGGGACTCCCACATCAGAACATTTAATCCTTGAAGGAAGAAATTGAAGAAGACACTAGAAAAGAGAAAGATCTACCATGCTCTTGGGAAGGTAGAATGAACATAGTAAAAATGGCAATCTTACCAAAAGCAATCTACAGATTCAATGCAATCTCCATCAAAATCCCAGCAGAATTCTTTAGAGAACTTCAAAGAACAATACTCAGTTTCATATGGAAGAACAAAAAAACCCAGCAGAGTCAAAACAATCCTGTACAATAAAGAAACTTCTGGAGGCATCACAACCCCTGAATTCAAACTCTACCACAGAGCTACAGGAATGAAAACAGCCTGATATTGGCATAGAAACAGACAGGAGGAACAATGGAACTGAATAGAAGACCCGGATATCAACACACACTTATGAACAGCTTATTCTTGACAAGAAGCAGAATATTTAAAATGGAAAAAAAAGCACATTCAACACATGATGCTGGCATAACTGGATATCAACATGTAGAAGAATAAAAATAGATGCAAATCTATAACCATGCACAAAACGCAGGTACACATGGATCAAAGACCTCAACATATAACCAACCACACTGAACCTCACAGAAGAGAGTGGGAAGTACACTTGAACACATTGGCACAGGGGGCAACTTCCTAAGAATGACCCCAGTAGCACAGACACTGAGAGAAACAATTAATAATTGGGACCTTCTCAAACTGATAAGCTTCTGTAAAGCAAAAGACACAGTCAACAGCCTACAGAGTGAGAAAAGGTCTTCACCAGCCTCATATCAGACAGAGTGATGATCTCTAAAATATATAAAGAACTCAAGAAATTGGTGACCAAAATAGGAAATAATCCTTTGTATATATAAAAAGGAACAGACCTAAACAGAGAACTCTCAACAGATGAATATAAAATGGCTGTTCAATATCTTTAGCCATCAGAGCAATGCAAATCAAAACAACTCTGAGATTCCATCTTACACCTGTAAGAATGGCCAAGATCAAATACACGGATGACAACTTCTGATGGAGAGGATGTAGGGTAAAGGGAACACTCCTCCACTGCAGGTGGGAGTGAAAACTGGTACAGCCATATTGGATATCAGTCTGGCGACATCTCTGAAAATTACAAAACAATCTACCTCAAGACACAACAATACTACTTGTGGCATATACACAAAAGATGCCCCATCATACCACAAGGACATGTGCTCAACTAAGTTCATAGGAGCATTGTATGTCATAGCCTG